AACCACTTTTTACATCCCCTTTTCGTACATACATACACTCATTAGCTCGATTAAAGTTCAGGTTTATACGCTTCTGAGAAATATATATATCGTACGTGGGACGCTTACACGGCAGAAGTTGCGCGCTGTTGCTTTCGTAATTAACTAAATAAGCGGCAAGATATTGTTCGAGTTAGGAGGCCGCCGGGACCCGAAGGACGCGCAGGTGTTTCGCGTTCGAAAGATTTCTTACGTGCATTCGAGACGAAATGAAAGGAGGGAGCGTTACAACGAGCGGACCGCAGGACGGATCTCGTCTGCTTATATTGCAGCAAATTAAATTAATTCTGGCAAATTAATTGATAGTTAAGATGTTTAGCGTTAAGTGAGAACCTAGCCTCTCTCGTTCTCTTGCTTTTGCTTCTACCGCCTAATCTTACTTGCGTTTACTCTTACTCTTACTCACGCGCAATCACTTTCTCTCATTTTCGTCCTTGCTCTCCCTCATTTCCCTTCGCTCGGCGCTTCTTCCCTCGTCAAAGTGTTGCGAAGGACCAAGTGGAAGAGAGTGTGCTCCCGAAATAAAAGTTTGCCCGAATTCTTCGTCGCGACGCGGCGGTTGAAAATAACGATGATCGTTCATCGTCGTTAGCCGAAAATTAATCCGGCGTGAATGAAAACAAGAATGTCGTCTTACTTACCGTCTTCAATTGGGTTAATTGTGAATCGGAAATAAACCGAATTGCTTGAAAGTTCTGTCTAATTTATCCAAGTCCAAGTGTCAACGATGAAAAGTCTGTTGAATAGTACTATTTGAAAATATATTAAAGTCCGCTGACTATCGTTGGGCAAATCTACGAGAAGGGAAATGGTCCAACCAAAATGCTGTTGAATCGTACCGCGATTTCAAATGGTTAGTTGAATCAGTGGCGGCTCATACCAGAGTTTTTGGAACTAGAAGAGTAACGTAGCCAAGACCGGAACCTTATTTAGCCAAGACACACACCTCGCTTAGCCGAGGTTATCAAAACGTAACTTACCGTTAGATGACGCTAGACGCCATCTGCTGCATTTTTACGAGTCCAGTGCATAGGATAGTTACCCCAAAGTGTAGTTTCAAATTCTCCGCTACGAGCCGCCACCGATTCGACCGACCAACCGAGATCATGGTACGATTCAACCGATTAGGCAGATCGTTTATCTCTCAAGTTGATTGGTGCAATAGTGGGTGATGAACATTTGTTAATTACAGTTGTTAATTAGTGCGACTCAACTTTTAACGACGGGTGTCCTGTTCATTCTCAGATAATTCAACTTGGTGGCAGATGGGAAGGATTTATTTTCAACTAATCACAACGGCGAATCAGGTAACCTTTTTATCTTTGAACGATACGACTTATAATGTCAGATCAAAATGTTTATTCTTAAATAATTCGACTTGATAGTCAGACGGACTTTTTATTCTACTTATACTACAGCACGTTCGTAGACCGGATAATAGTTTCCGTCATTATCTATTATTGCGAGATAAAAGTCCGTTGAATTGTATGAGAGAGAGAGAGAGAGAGAGAGAGAGAGAGAGAGAGGGAGAGAGAGAGAGAGAGAGAGAGAGAGAGAGAGAGAAAGAGGGAGGAAGAGATGTGGAGAAAAATCGATTAGAATATGCTTCGCAGACGCTTCGAAGCAAATATATGCGTGGCGGGTATTATATGTAAAATAACGGTACTTAAGCTAATTACCAACGATTCTATAGATGATAAATAGCTAATGGAAAGTCGATCGCGATGTTGCCGCGTCGTTGTCATCGAGCGGCACGTACGGTGTAGGCGCCAGTATGTATGATTATTAATAATTTATTGGATATTAAATATTGATAAAAACAATGTTAAAGAAATTACTCGATTGTGTTCAGTGTTTTCGCAAATGATGATTATTCAGATACCTTTTTCTCAACACCACTCACTGTTTAGCCAAATGTACACCATACTTAATCTTACGTAGCTCGTTTGCCTCTATCGATATCTGGTACGTTCCTCTCATCTTATTCCAAGCAATCTACTCGGGCAGTAATAGCATTTCAACCACCCATTCTTATTTAATACCGACTGAAACTTACAATTCCCACGATATCAACTACATCGTGCGCGATATCACTCGCGTTATCGCGAGTCCACATTCTCGATTGTGTAATTCTTAGTTAACTCCGCTCTAATCAGTTGCGCCAATCGCTCCATCGCCTGAAATATTTACACATACTCACCGATGTTATCATTATTTAGTTTTCTAAACCAAAGTTCAGCAGCGACGTTGCTGCGACATGCAACGTTCGATACAACTGTAGTCACCGTCGATGGACTAATTTTTACACTTGTTGATTATTGCCAACAACAAGAAAATAAATAGAATAGAGTATTATCAACAAGAGAAAACGGAAGATTACACGCTAAAATTCAGTTCGGCTCGTGTCACTTTGTGACACGAATACTTACTCTGAATTTCACAAGTGATTACTAATCAGCGACAAGTATCGATCAAAATGTCTTTCTGATGTATTTGAAGCTCTTTTACGATGACTACGGTTCATTCAATCGTAGAAACGACGCTCGCGATATCTTAGGATATTAAAGAAAAAAATTGACTACGTACCAAATCCATGTCCTTGTAAGAAGCTTTGGCGAAACTCGCCCTGATGGCGTTGCAGGGTTTCGAGGTATCTGTCATAAATGCGGCTCCCGGTGCCATAATGACACCCTCCGTGATACCGCGCTGCATCATCATTTTCCATGTATTTTCGATACCACGCACTTTGATCCACAGGAAGAAACCGCCCTTCGGCACATTAAAGTCCACCAGACCTGTAAATGAATTCGCGATTCTCTCTTCAATTTTCGATTTGTATTCTCAATTTGTATGGTATTAAGTTTTTGATATAATATATGTACAGATTGTTCGGGATCTTTCGAAAACGAAAAATTGTAAAAATTAATCAGGTCAAACTGAGAAAAAAGGTCACGTTTATCATTTTGCAAAAGTTATTTGCAATAGTTATTAAATTATTAATGATCGAAAATGACCACGTTTGAAAGGTCTTTTAATTGATAACTTGAAAATTTTGCGTACTTTTTGCAAAATGGTAAAAAGGACTTTTTCGTTTAGAATAATCTACAATTATATGATGGTTATTGTGCCTAGGTTCAAGATTCAAGGTTCAAAGTTCAATATATTTATATCTATAATTTTTTAAAATAATTATCACAAAACAATTGAGAATAATCTGCCTCCAAAATAATCTTGCACAGAAATGTAATTCCTCGACGCAGAGATATAAGTTAAATTTTCTTCTATTTCCTCAGTTTTTCTCTTCAAATTAATTTATGAGCAATCAAGATACTTTTTTTTTCAAACTTGCGCACTAGAATACAATATTATTCCAAAATAGAACTTAAGATATAATCCCAAATGAGCTCATAGAAAGAATATGATTAAAAATAAGTAGTTCGCCGCATACATTCTCGTAGATTATCGTCGAGTCCATCAGTTCGAACGACTGTTGATACCCACCGTTTAAATGTTTGCGCGCCAACGCCGCGATAACGTCCCTTCGCTCCTTGTAGAAGCACCTCAGTCTCATGTAATGCTGCATTATACCTTCGTAACCCCACATCTTCATCAGTTTGTAGAGTATCACCTAAAACCGAGCATGAAACCGATTCTATTGATCATTTCTCCCTTCGCTTTGCGGCGCAACAAACGCGCTGAGGCGTTCGGCGTGTTTAAGTCGCGATAAAAACTGACACGCGTCACCATCATTTTGTTTCGCGTATAATAATTAAACGCGAAGCAATTGTACGTGCATATGTGCGGGCGTGCATGTATGTGTGCAACATTCCACGCGGAAGAATTTCGCCATTCAATAGAATAATATTAACTGTTATCGCTTCTTTTTCATTGCAATAATCTTCCGGCACCCGCAGCAACGCCTCTTGCTGCATAGGATGTTTGAGACCTATTATTTATTTTCGTTCGTTAAGAATTTATCTCTCGAATCGCGTCGAAAAGTCGATAGGTGTCTTGCGGGTGAATCATCAAGTTGAAGGAAGAGAACTTGAAAATAATTATCGACAATTTTCAAAGCAATGAGTCTCCAAAGCAGCCTCGCATTTCCGACGCGGAAATTCGTGTCATATCGGCGGCAGGGAATCGCGACGGGTACGTTTCTCCACAAAGGGTAAAGATTTCCCTTGCAAAAAGAGGTACCAACCTGCGATAAAGTAGGCGCATGGAGATGGCTGCTCTGTAGGTGAAGCTCCACGCTGGCTACCAGCGGGGCCGCGGCGGTCACAAAACCCACCCTAATGCCGCTACTAACCACCTTCGAGAACGAGTCCAACCTGATCACCCGACCTTCCGTGTCGAGCGACAAGAAGGACCGAGGTTCCTCCTGCGTGACGAAAAGTACGATTTATTTCAGAATTGGGCTATTTACTGCCATGACACCGTTGCGAAAGTATGACGTCTTTGTATATCGTCGCGATAACGCGAGGTCACAGATGGTATAGCAGTGATTACTTCATTATACATGTCGGACATAAATTAAATGTTGCGTTAATTTTGCATTAATGTGTGCACGAGTGCACGAACATATTGTATAATCAATAATCGATAGACGCGTATTTGAATAAGTCTTGATAGACGTCTTATTTGGACAAGAGCAAACGAAGGACGCGCGTGTCATACGCGCACAGGCAATATCGATGATGCTCGAACTTCAACTTGCAGATATGTTGCGTCGAGAGATAATCAGCGATATCCTTTGTCCTGAACTTTTTTCAATTTTCAGTGACACCCCCTCTTTCTCGAAGTCCACGATTACTGCAATTAAAATCTTTTTTTCTTCTTCAAGTGTTCTTGTGTAACCTCTACATCTTATCGGTTCAATTGCATCATGATGATTTCTACATCAAATAACTCAATGTCAATTTGACCGAGACGCATTTGTCGATTTCTCGCATGACGCAAGCGCATAAAACGAACAAGAAGATAATCTCTTAAATATTCTTACTTTATCGTTCTTACTTTTTCAAAATGCATGAAGTGATAAGGGTCGTCGTCGAGGATCAAAAAGTTGTACTCGCATGCAATATGGTAGATTTCCTTTCGTCTCTCCAAAGGTATAATGATGCCGGTCGGGTTCGTGCCTGTGGCGTTTATGTACATTATCTTCGGCATTTTCTTGCCGGACAACTTCCGGCTCCTCAGGATCTCCCTGAGTATTTCCGGAGCAGGACCGTCGTCGTCTTGAGGGATTGTTATGACCTCCGCTTGATGAGGTGCCACCTTGGTTACATATCAACGATACTCATGTTATCGTAATAAAATGATGTGTCCATTTCTACCGATATACATGTTTCCCGATATCGATTCGCCGGCAAAAAATAAAACCAAGCGATACATTAGTGGAAGCGTCGAAGATAATGTCAAGATTGTGCCAAGTGGTAGTTAAAAAGAGATTGTTTTAAGCTATAAAGTATTTCCCAAAATTCTATTCAGTTATAGATTCTTTGGCACTGATTGAATTGATTAGTCTTTCGTAAAATTCGGAATACCTCATCTGTTTTCAACCTCTTTGATAGTGATATTATTCTCTTTACAAGTGCCCTCGGAATTACAGTGAAAATTAAATGAAAATTTATGAAGTAAGTCCTATTTTAAATTTGATAAAACTCGCGACTATTGCGATCTATTTTGCATCGCTTAATTCATAAGTAGTCCTTCGTTTCCAGTGATTCATAATTGAAAAATATTATTTGACGTTCCACTTTGTCGACTTCGATCGTGTCGAAAATTTTTTTCAATCTAAACGGGGGAACGCACGCGATGTCTGGAACAAACTATACAATTCGCGATGAAAATAATTGGAGATATATATATATATATCAATTCTTTGCTTTGGGAAATATTCATGTTTCCTGTGCCACGTGTGAGAAGCAATTTCTTCTCTTTTTTCGGTCTTTGGTCAATTTGTATACAACGTTAAATTAATTAGACCAATTTCGATCGATCGACGCCCGAGAGACTCGCGCTTCTTCTCAGATTTCTCTCTCGCTAATGAAAGCGTATCTATTTACCACAATTTCGACGCCAGGATAGCAGGGATCGGGAACCAAGATCGGATCACCAGTGCCGATCACAGCTTCCAGAACCTTGCTCACGCCATCCTGAGCCCCCGAAACAACGACTATGTCGCGGCTCTCCCATAAGGGTGGCGCGTGTGCCCTTCTCTGGAATTCCCGGAGGGCCTGAAATCAATTTAGTGTTCGACATTGCTAGACACACTGTAGATGATTCCCTTATCTTGAAAGAGGAAAAAATCCGGATGTAACAACACAGTCGATTACATCAGAAAAAGAGAGAGAAAGAGAGAGAGTATGTGTGTGTGTGTGTGTGTGTGTGTGTGTGTGTGTGTGTGTGTATGTGCATACTCATATTTATCTATATCTATTTATTAGAGATGTGTGAATCAAGAATTTTTATATCAAATCGAATTGAATCGAATCTCATTTTTAAATTCGAATTAAAATCCAATCAAATGAAATCAAATCGAATCATTAAAAAATTTAACATGATTATTAAACATGTAAATAATGATGGAAGATTTTAATATGAAAAGGAATATTGATATTGTAATATCATCTTAAAATAAAATATATATTTAAATATTTAAAATAATTTATAATTAAGTTATTAATTATAAGTTAAGTTAATTACAAGTTAAGGGTTCAAACATACAGGCTCAGATGGCTCATTTTGTAGCTGTTGCTGCACGCAAACGATAATGTATTTGATTCCTATTCGAATTATTCAGATTCGAATCATAGGGATTCGGATTCGAATCGAATCGAATTACATTAGATTCAATTCGATTCGATTCGAATTCGAATAGTGCGCACATCTCTATTTATCTAAATTTATCTATATCTATCTATTTTTCTAATTATCTAAATTTATCTATCTATCTCTTGACGAGCATGAAAGTAATATCATCGATATTACGACGATATTATAGTTGAATCACGTTTTCACAATTTCTCACTTTTTAATTGACACGTTTCCTTCCTTGTCTTATTTTTATTCCGCTTTTACGCTGTTTCTGCATCACGACGGATTTTCACCTGTCTTTACAAGTCGAAAAAGCAATGTCGATGATAAAGTTGAAACGCTCACATGTCGTTATTTCAGGATTATATGAGATATCACGGATGTTACTTCGGCGATGATAATGCGACGAGAGAGATTATCTTCTTTACCTGTACGAGGGGAGGATAACCTTGTGTGGGTATATACTGGAGAGCGGCGGCTAATTCTTTCTTGTCGAGAGTAAAAGACGAGTTGTCGTAGAGTTTAATCGAGATTTCTGTGAACGGGAACGTTTCTTCGTTGGGCATTCCTTCCGCCAGGGAAATAATGCTTTTCGATGCGGAATACGCCATTTTAGCTGGAACAGAAAGAAAGGAATCTCATCGCATTCGTGTTCTTGATACTCCGATCAATGACTACCGATGCAGGAGTGCCCGTGTATCTACGAATAATTGTACATATGACAATTATCAATCCTGAAATAATTACATACATTCGCAGCTTCAAATTTAAATAAAAACAGAAAATACTCTAGCATAACTCAAAGTACACTCACCCGCAAAAAAACGAGCTACTAAATTTTAGCATAGTTTTCTGCATATATTTCAATAGCGATAACTCAGACAAAAATCATTGTATTGATATGAATCAAGGCTCCAATTAAAGCTTGGACATTTCTTATCAACAACCAAAAACTTAAAAGTGAATTATAATAAATGTTTTACAAAATGACGGATGTTAAAGATAGACTTCGATTAATGGGAAAAAAAATTTGTCTTTTAACTGTTGCACTGCTCAGGAGAATCGGTCCTCTGGTACAAAAATGTATGAGGTTTAGAGCTCATTTATTTCCTAACAAATCCATATTTTAATCATTATTCTACGATCTTTTTTGATAAAGTTGATAAGATGCCGTTTTGAAAAAAAATATTATAAAATAGACAACCTTTTTCCATAAAGCCTGCGATTCAGAATAAAAATTATCGTAAAAAACTTTTTCAAAAAGGAAATTAATATATAACTCGATCAAGATATTCCACGTGATGGTAGATGATGATGATTATGATGATGATGACGATGATGATCGGATTTTTTCTTATTTTTATCAAAAAAGGTCGTAGAAAAATGATTAAAATGTGGATTTGTTAGGAAATAAATGAGCTCTAAACCTCATACATTTTTGTACCAGAGGACCGATTCTCCTGAGCGGTGCAACAGTTGAAAGACAAATTTTTTTTCCCATTAATCGAAGTCTATCTTTAACATCCGTCATTTTGTAAAACATTTATTATAATTCACTTTTAGGTTTTTGGTTGTTGACAAGAAATGTCCAAGCTTTAATTGGAGCCTTGGTTCATATCAGTACAATGATTTTTGTCAGAGTTATCGCTATTGAAAGATATGCAGAAAACTGTGCTAAAATTTAGTGGCCCGTTTTTTTTACGAGCGAGTATATATTCACCTTTGGAATTTTCAACGTCTCATTGTATCACCATTTTTTTAATATTTTAATCATTTTAGATATTTTTAAACATTTTAAAATTCAAATATTTAAATTAAAATAAAAATAGTTTTAAGTTTTTAAAATATTTTTTAATATTTAAATAATTTTTCAATTCCTTATAACCAAACTTGGAAAATTTCGAAATTCGGCCAGTCACCGTACATTTAATTATTACAATGCGCGGCTGATACATCGGCACAGAGATGTTAGCAGATATTTGCGAATGGAAAGCAAACAGTTAAAATCTGGCTGATTTACTTTGCGCATTATCAGCGCGTCATACTTAAGCACATGAGTTAAGATGAAAATAAATGTTGTATTCTTACTCAATTCCCGTGTCGTGGCAGGTCGTCTACGCTTGGACATTTCCGTCTTGAAGTAGGAATAATCCATTTTGAAATTTTCTTGATTGAGGTACACTTATTTGACAACGAAGATCGTATCGTCGCACTTTTCTGGATTGAATAATCGTCGATTATCATACACACAGATGTCTTTACATACGATCGCTACTCGAAGACTATTTCTTCATCACAGGCGACCGTAATTGAACGAGCAAAAATTATATTCAATCCGAAACAACAGAGAAACTTATAGAATGTAACAATCGTGTATACTCGCTCTTGCTTTATATATATATATATATATATTATCACTGTATCTCTCTCTCCTTCCACCTCTCTCTCTCTCTCTCTCTCTCTCTCTCTCTCTCTCTCCCTCTCTTTCTCTGTCTTGATACAAGTCGAACGAACACTGAGCTGGTCAAAAACGCATTCTTTCTCACGTAGTCCCGCACGCTTCTGTCACCCTTTTCAACACTGACGACGCGGCCGGTTGAGTCTGCCTTTATATTTCCAGATAACGTTGGACATTGCGTCAGATAACATTAACATATTTAAATAAGGATTATGTCCGCATGGAAAGAGGAGTGTTAATAGCTTTCCCCTTTCGGTTTTTTATGACGTCATTTGTGTTTTGGTTATATTATCTCTCTGATAATGTAAATTACGGATACTAATTTTCGTAAGTTGACGCTATTGTTACATCACGATGGAAGACGAATTCTTTACAAATGTCAGAGTAATTGTGAAAAGAACGAAGGAACCGTCGCAAAAATATACTGGATCCGTATAAAAATTTGGGAAATGAAAAAATATCTCAGAAATTCTGATTCGCAATAGACAGTAACGAACTGAAAATTACTTAGCTCATTTTATTACTCCGGAAAAATATAACCACAATAAGATGTTGATTTACTGCGTGTCCTTCTGATTTTCTCGTTTACGCTGAGTTATTTTCAAATTTTCTAAACACTTTGGAATCCTTCGATAAACTCGTTTTCTTATGGTATCAATTTTTCACGATTTTCTAGCTTATTGCAAACTGCAACGTTGCACATTTTAAATAGCTCTTCGAGCTATTTAAATTATCATGCATGACTTGAAAGGAGTGCAAAGAATAGATATTTTCTTTTTAGAACCTTCCCACCACACGCTTTCATTCCTCGGTTTGCTGCGTTCCCAAAATCTCCCCGGAATCTCCTTAGCGCATAAAGTGACAATCGTTCCCCGATGTCAGCTGATTAACGTCGAGCACAATGCGCTCGTCAATGAACGCTAGAATCATTTACAGCGCCTAAACACTCTCGCGATGAAACTTGACATTAATTTTCCGATACGCTTCGCGAATCTGAATAAGAACTTGTGTACATTCTGCTTAAAAATAGCGATAGGTTATTCAAACAATTTGTGAAATGCTTATCAGTATATATTGTTTGAAGGAAGATAAAGAATGTAACTTTTTGGGAAATGAAGGGGTGATACCGTTATACATTACGGAAGCAATATGATGTTCTAATGATCTCTCCCGAACTATTTTTCCAACGACGTGTCGGTGATAACCATGATGCAATTAAACGTACAATTACATGAATCAACGAATGCGATGAAAATTTGCCTCCGAAATTCCACACGAGCGCGCGTTACCGTCGTCCGTTACACACACGTCGTGCGGGAGAATCAGTCTTCGCATCGCGGCGAACGATCGCTCGGCACTAAAAGCGGCGTCGAAAGGCTCGGAGAAAGGCCAATGGTCTCCTTCTCCGTCGGCCTTCGACGGTGCTGGTCGGTGAGAGACTTCTTGTTGCTTCTTATAAATATATATCGCGTACGATGAACTGAGAGACGCGGGCACAAACGCGGCAGAAATTTCGGGGCTTCGCCGGCAAGCAAGTCACGAGTATAATCAGTACGGACTATTTAACGCGGAAAAATCGTCGTTCCCCCTCTTCTCTCGTCATGTTGTGTTGTCCAGTTAGAAGTTCTCTTCTAGCTTCGTGTTCTGACGCAACAGTCTGCCGGAATTGATATCAGCGTATCGCAATAAGTACTGCGATATAAAAAACGCACGGTGGGACGACGAGGCGGACCAAAAGAAAGGCTTGAAACGGCTGATGAAAACGAAATGTTTTGCAATTGCGGTCAACGTTACGTTATCGCGCACTCCGCTACGCTTTCTTAACTGCAAACTTGGTACATAACGCCGGCGACCGTGTTTACATATTTTTCCGTCATGCGTTATTAGTCGATCGTACAACGAGAGCTGCGTGGTATGCACCGCGTATTTGCAAAGAGGCGGGTATTTAATTAATTTATGATACACGTCGCAATGTTTGATATGTTTACGTTGAGTCAAACGTCTTTCGATATTTCTCTCTCTCTCTCTCTCTCTCTCTCTCTCTCTCTCTCTCGCTCGCTCGCTCGCTCGCTCGCTCGCTCTTACTAACTCTCCCTCTTTCTTCCGCGTGTCGCGCGCGAGTTATCAATTAGAATCGCGCACAATTAGATAACATTTTCTGTTAATTGAGAGAATTCATCAGATACACGCGACGACGAAACAAGATTCGAGCCCGATGCGATTTAGAATCACATCGATACCGTAATTCGCGATTGTTCTCCCGCCGCATGTTTATCATTCGCGGGAATGATATAACTTATTCGCGTCATGAATGTACGCCGCACGCACGAACGTGACGCGCGCGAGCGCGAACGCGAGCGCTGACGCCAACAATGCATGTGTTTGCACGCGTAATCGGTCGTTAATAACTGACATCGGGCAATTGCGAAATCGTTGAAAAGTCCGATAACGGTAATACGACAAACCAGCAGCATCCACCAGCCACAGCGGCGGAACGACGTCGGATATTCGGCGAGCGAGTGGACGCGATGCGACGCGACATTGTCGAGCCGTCGTGAAAAATTCGCGAGTCAAGAATGCATGCGTCGATGGTTTCTAATCGAGATTAACAACACGCCGTGATTGTGGCCAATCGTTAAGGTAAAACTCCCAATGCCGGATACATACTTAATTCTAGACATTTTTATTCTTTATATGTAGTATTCGATCCTTAAAATAGCTCTTTTTTTTCAATTTATCTAAACTCTCTCAACGTGGAATATATGTATTTACAGTGGCGTGCAAAACTTTTGAGCCACACAATTATATTCATTTCATAATGAGCACTAAAAACTTTACACATATATATATATATAAACAAAATGTATTTATTTGTCCTACAATATATAAACTTTACAAATTCTTAATAATTCTAAATACTTAATTTTTACACAATGTCTTACACCATTACAAACAGTGCAAAAGTATTGCGCCAAAAAGTTTTCTTATGCATAAGAAAAATGTATTATTGAAAAATAATAACAGAAAATGTTGTCAACGTTTTTTTAAACTTAATACTTTGTTGCCATGCCTTTAGAAGCAATCATTGCAGCACAACGGCGAGGCATTGATGCTATTAAATTAGAAATGCGATCTTGAGGTAAATTTTACCATTGAGTTTGCAAATCTTGCCACAATTCAGCTTTATTGGAGTGTTTCTTATTTCTTGTACGTAGTTTGAGTTCTTGCTACAAATGCTCAATAGAATTCAAGTTCGGCGATTGCGAGGGCTAGTGAAGAACTCGCATTTTTTTTCACGATGAAAAATTCTTTTATTAGTTTTGATGAATGTTTGGGATCGTTATCTTGTTGGAAAATCCAACCACGCGGCATGTTTCGAATTGCATTTGGCAGCATATGCTGCGTCAATATATCTCGATACATTATAGCGTCCATAGTACCCGTGATCTCAACCAAGGGACCAACTCCATTATAAAAAAATGATCCCCAAACCCTCACGTTACCTCCACCATGTTTTACGGTAGGAATTTGGTATCTTGAGTTATATCTTGTGCCTGTTGGACGTCGTATATACTTTCTACCGTCATTTCCGAATAACTGAAACTTTCTCGTCAGAGAAACTCGTCAGAGAAAAATACTTTTCGCCAATCAACTTCAGTCCAATGTTCAAATTTCCTCGCAAAATTTAATCGAGCTTTCTTATTTTTTGCACTAATTAATAGTTTTTTACACCAGCACGTCCTAAAAGGTCTACTTCCTTTAGACGTCGAGATATTGTACTTCGACTAATATCAGCAAGATTTTCTTCTCCTAGTTCTCGAGAAGTATCCATGAAAGTTTTTCTAACATCTGCTATCGACTTTCTTTTAATCATTTTATCGACGCGCTTTATAGTTTTGCGAGGTCTACCGTTTCGTGGTTTATCAGCTAGAGAGTTCGTCAACTTATATTTAGCAATAATCCTATTTGCAGTACTTTTATCGATTAATAAGCAATTAGCAATTTCGCGAGAAACCTTTCCTTGTTGAAGAAGATTAATCACGGCTTTGCGTAACTGAAGGCTTGTATGTTTCGGCATTGCCGTAGACAATAGACTGAAACTTAGTTAAAGCAAATATTTACGAAAGAGTTTCATAAGAAACGTAAATAAACCGGGTTCATAAAGTCACAACAAGAATATGGCTCAATAATTTTGAACACATGTAAATATTATATGACTAAATAATTAGAAACTATGTAATTTCAAAATTTTGTAATTGTACTATTATTTGTAAGAATGTTATGTCAACTATTTTATATAATTAATTTTTAGAGCAAGTCAATATATTGTCATGCATCTTAAAAAGACATTATGGCTCGAAACTTTTGCACGCCACTGTATATATTCAAAATATTTCAACATTCAAGAATGTACGTATACATTAAAAAAAAAATATATATATATATATTCTACGTTAAAAGTTTAAACATATGATACGAACTTGACTTTGGACTTGTGACTTTGGACTTTTAAATACATATATTTAAACTCTTTTTACATTATAGAATATGTTCACAGAAACATCACAGAATGTATGTTTTATGTTGAAAGTTTAAATATTGGATTTTTTAAAGACCGAAACACTGAGAATATTTCAAATCGGATACGTGTCCTAGCACTGGTATTTTTGTCCAATTCGTCAAAAAAGCGCCAAAACGAAACTCGCAGTCCGATTTGCAAGCAGCGGAAGCACCTGGAATTTTGATATGACACGCGACATCCATAATACCAATATTTTCCTTTTCTTTTTTCATTTTTCACGACCCAAGAATGCGCCACTTGAGCCCGCGTTGAGCGCGGCCGTCGTCTATGACTGAACGGCCAGCGACGCGAATTCCCTGACATCTCGCCGATCTTCCTGCCTTTGTTACGGAAACCGATGAGAGACGTCATTGTGTCGATAATAATGGCGCGATAATGAAGTATATATGATGTTTCCTCTTTCTTCTCTCTTTCTCACACATACACATACAGCCGCGGACGCGGCCGAAAACAAAATGAAGAGCGCGCGCACCCAGCGCGGGTTATCTCGCATTTTTCACGGGACTCGACGGCATTATCGCGAGATTCAGAAGCTTGTCAGGCGCCGATAATGTATGACGCCTTGTTCAGTGTTATTTATTTATAATGCCGAGTCATCTGTTCATGCGCACACGCGAACCGATACGGGTGTTAATATTGTTACGGGCTGTTTACACACCCGTTGTTCCCTCTCGATACCGATAAATCGAGGCGCACGCGGTGATAAACGCTTAACGCATCAATCCTGTACACACGGGATACGCGCGGGGGTATTTCGCGCTCCGTGCGCGTTGATGGCATATTATATATCATTAATTACACGTAAAGCGAGACTTTTTGGCTGCGGAAATCGCGCTGACACGCTTCTCAATGAAAATCGCCCGGCGCAGTTTTGCGGAGTTTGACGGAGAATAGAAAAACCGGTCGAAAGCGATATGACGGGGATCACTTATTGGCATTTCGGTGCTACGAATGCGCCAACGATGACCGTCGATAATCGTTGCTGTGGAAATGAGAGGAAAACAAGAGAGAAAGAGAAACACCAGAGAGAGAGAGAGAGAGAGAGAGAGGCGATCGGCATTGTCGAGACACGTTCCATTGGATAGTCGATAGTCCGCGTTCAAATCACACCGTTTTTCCTCACCTTTGCCTACGAAAAGGCAGAATCGCGAGAATTCTTCTTCGATCGCGACAAAATCCTGACGAAAATAGATCTTCCTGGAATCTAGCGGCTTGTTGTCTCTCCGTAGTCTACCGAAATGGAAATCACGAGACCCACTGAGTCGGCGCTACCGCCGACCATCCGAAATATAGTCGCTATTTCGCGAAGTGTTTACAATCGTCACGTTAGATTCGACGCGGATCATGGACAGGCTAGTTAAACGTGGATGGCACAGATCCTTCCGGCTTTTCGTGCCCACCGGACGCTGCTATTGAGCACGAGCGACCGATGACGACTTTTAAATCCAAGAAGCAAGAAAACGCGTGGCTCGATCGAGGAAAAAGCTCTCTTCCGCGTGATTGCGCGGGTCGGGATGGTTATCGGCAGATAACTTGCTCCGACTGCCGATACCAGTTACTATTTAATCGTAGATTTGAACGATAACGTCAATCCACGAGCTCATTCAATTGAATCTCTCTCTCTCGGTCGGTCTCTCTCGTAAGACAAACTTGCCTGTGGTTACTCTTGGAAGACTCGTCGTCACGCCCACCGATTAATTGATCCGAGATGTAATTTTAATCGCGAGGAATGTTACACACTGTCTTCGCTCTGTATCCTGAAACGTTCGCTCGTAATCGTCGCTGCCCGGAGAAAAATATTTGGTTCGTTTAGTAACGTAACGACGACGACGACATGGCTCCGCTGCCGCTTTGTTGACCGCGTCGAATTTTTCTCGACGAAATCCAAAAACATTTATTGTTTTTTTCTCCCATTTTCGTGAACTCGTATCGCGTCTGTGTGTCGCTTCGCATTGGTCTATTCTCGCGGAGTAACTTTGTCGTTCGACGACAGCGACAATTAGCGCCCGGCAGGGATGCGCATTAATGCAGCGGGTGCTTGAACATTATCCGCGAGCTCATTTTGTACAAGCGACAAGCTGGTATATCTATAACGACAAGGTAACGACGTAGATATAGTCGGGACGTGGTTAATCGATGCCCGGAGAATAATATTGTGGGATGGAATAATATTGAGAGATATAGCGGAAGTTCGCCAGGATGTCTCCTCAGACGCATCGTCGCTGTTACGAGGGAAGATTACGTCCAATCAGGGTTACATCCAATTAAGACTGTCGCGGTTTCAACCACGCGCCGAGTGACGAATTACGAATGCCTCGTAATTCTCGCATAAACAATCGAACCGACATTTTGGCGTTTCGTAATATATATTTCTTTTCTAATATATCTTTCGTCATTATATTATACACACACACACACACACACACTTGGTTCTGACATACTTCGTGCATTCTTTTTCGATACAGTTTGGAATGCAACCGATGGAGAAACTTGTTTCTGCACTGATAGAAAAATATAGTTGAATCAACTATAATCTCACTATATTTTATAGTTCATTTTGGCGTCAACCATATTTTTATAGTTCGTGGAAACCTACAAAATATAGCAGAATAAACACAAATATATAGTCAATGATTGTCTTAAATAATTGTTTAGTTACTTTTACCACATATATGGTAATTTCTCATTCACAAATATAGTGAGATTTAATATTCATATAGTTACATCTGTTATCATTTAGCAAATATTCTGGTAATATTGACTATATAAAAGAGTTACTTTTATCTACCATTTTATATTTCCATCCATATAATAATTTCACTTTAACTTACTATAATTCTTAGTAAAAATATTATGTGGTTGGTTATACTATGCCTATATCTAATCGTTACCGAGATTATGGTAATACTTACTATAAATATGATATTTCGGACTATAATTTAGTTATTATATCATTATAGTTCCAAATATCATATACTTTTCTCTCAGTGTGGTTAATTTCCAGAAGTTCTCTCATTGGGCCATCGGCTGTGTTCGAAAAAAAGTGATCAAACTCGGTTTTAAAACCGAGTGTGTAAACTGCCTATGCGCGACATTTCAAAACACTTCAATGTTGCTTCAGATCAATACCTACTACGAATGAGGGAGAAGCAACACGTCTGCTTAAAAATATTCATATTTATTTTGTAATAACCGTATACGCGAACGTGCACACATCCGACGACAGAATATTTGCAGTTAGTCTCGAGAGAGCAAGCGCTCCTTTCATACTGCTGACATCTTCGCGTACACGTATGAAGTATCGTAAGAAAGGATAGTGACTTTAGGTTAGTTTATCGCAAAATCGCTCTTCGCTCTTCGCTCTGCGCTCCTTAACCCTCTTGCGATTCCATTTACTGACAGAAATTAGTATCAAAATGGTTAAATTTTTTTCTGCGGAGGAAAATATTTACTTTCATGTTTTATAATAGTTTTCGAACGTGCTGATTTCAAATTTGAGGTTGTTGCAAAATTCAAAATGACAGGTCAAAAATGGCGGATCTGGAAGTAGTAAATCTTACCCCGAGTCAGACTCGGGTCTAACCGTAAGCCGGTTAGCTACCTCGAAAAGCACCGTTACGTTCTTAGGACGTAACGACACGACCGCTGGTGAAGTGACTGTGGCGCAATGCGAAGCAATGAAAGCGATGCTCGGTAGAATTGGATTGATAACAGCCGCGACTTCGCATACTTCCAAGCGACAGGTCACACTCGCATTATACCGCAAGTGTGCCGGCGGATGCGGGCATGATGCAAAGGCGCGAATTCCGGCTGAGAGCCGGACGTAGGTGGAAAATGTCTGTTCCTCGCTCCGGCTTCGACGAAGGTGCCGCTCGGCCGGCAGCAAGTCGGAGATGGAGAAACGTACTTAACGAACGGAGAAGTTCATTAAAAGCGAAACGACATTAGCCGACCTAAAATCACCTCCTCCGTCAGTTCCGCCTGCCACCGTAGGTAGGCTGAACCCTCTCGGGCGCCACAGGTGAAACGGAGGAAAAGGACGGAGACGAATTAACGGACCGGACGAAGCATCGTAGACGTCGTAGTCGAGTCGGTTCACGAGGCGAAAAGAAAAAAACGAGAGAACGAGTCCGATAGGAAATAGATCATCGCGCTCTCGGTGCGGTAGAGCAACGACGACGACGACGACGACGACGACGACGACGACAACGCTGCTGGTGCCAACGGCGGTGCAGGAGCGGCGAGGAAAAAAGGCCCATCTCCTCACGGGAGATTGTCTTCCTACGATTCCTCTCGTTGATCCCTCGCGACGCCTTCGACCGCCGACTGTGTCGTTACCATTAATAGAAACCATTCAGCGACTATGAATTGCCTACCCATTATCCTGAAATTTCATTATTTTCCCGCTAACGAGCGGACGTAGCCGCGCGATCGGCAGACCTACGTCTTACACGAAGCGGGGAAATGTCTGTGGAATGGAATTACCGGAGAGGGAGGGTATTTGCGAGAGCGGAAGGTCGGACGTCACTACTCTCCGAAGTCGGATGTACCTGCGGCACCTCTCTTTTTACTCGTCTCTTAGTTCGCTGTTTTAACTCGAACAATGATTCGCTCGCACGACATCGTCCATTACGCGACAGGAGCCCATTGCTCCGTGGCGAGTCCCTAGGAACAGAACCGAATTTCAAAGGGACACTGCAGGCCGAGTCTCTCCCGCGAGCCTGTCGTCCGACAGCCTGAACGAGCGGAGGGAGAGAGAGAGAGAGAGAGAGAGAGAGAGAGAGATCGTATCCGTGCTCCGCAGTGTGTGCCAATCCAGACGAAACTTCATGGCCATTGATCCCGCGGAACCACTTCGAAGACAGTTTTGTATCTTTTTCGGGACCTTCTCGACCGCTGCTCGTTCACGCCCCGACGATACCTAATTGGGTGCGCCCCGTGGCCGACCTATTATACGGGGTGTCAAAATACTTTTTCACCTCTCGTAATCCTCCCGGCTGCTATACAGGATCTCCCTTCTTACCTTCTCCCTCCCCTCCCCCTTCATCGCCGCACTGCTCCAGGACAAAGGGTATGCGTGCTTGTATCTCAAAGCGGCCGACCGAATGAAATGCACAATGGAATTGTCGCCACACGTCGCGTTTCGAGAAGTAAAAGACGTTTTCCGTGGCCCTGGTCCGCCGGCACCGTATAAGCCGCCGCCTCAGAGAAAGACCCTCCGCCGGGAGTACTTCCCCGGCGTGTAACAACGTGTGTACTCGCGGGTTAGATTCCTCTCTTTCTCTTTCTCACTCACTCGTCGTGCCTCGTCACCCCTCAACACCGTGGCCTCCTTCTTGCCAATCTTCCTCTTCTCCGTGCGGCGACGATGTTTCTACCCTCGGCTTCGTTTTCTCTTTATCTCTTCCGAGGTTGGCGTATAAGTGACAATTTTGTCGTAACACCGTTCGTTGAATTCGAAGAAAGGAAATCGAAGGAGGGCAATTTTGTTACCGACACGCGCGCGGAGACACGAGCGCGAAACGTCGCGAGATTTCTCGTGCCAGCGGATCAACGACGCGCCACCCCTCTCGTCGACGTCTTCGAAGTGGTAGACGTTTCTTTACACCAAGTCGGATATTCTCGTTATCGTGTTGATTAACACGTACCATTATTTTTCATCGCATTCCATCGTATTGCATTTCAAACTTTACATTCTGCACGATGCTTCCTCTGAGCGACTTCGCAAACGCGATCTCCACCGTACGAGACCACCGCGTGGTGTTTCGGCAAATTGCGTAATCGCGTTCACAATGATCTCCGTCAGCGATTCAACAATCTGATTTGACCTTATGGGAGAATGCTTTTAGCGGGCGCCTTTTCCAACTTCAGTGTCGCTAACGGAATTATACCGAAGGCCCGATAATTGCTGATAATTCGGATGAACTTCGTTAAGACGCTCATCTGGGCCGGGGCGAAATGCTTTCATTTGATTATTACTCGATTTCGATAACGCGATTATCACGTTCGTAACGTAAATCGATTGCGTTTTCGTCTCCTCGGAATTACTGAATCATACGATCTCAGACGATTATGAGGCATTATGAATGATCGCGACATTTAATGCGCGACGCGAACTATCATTCTCTTCTTAGTGCACATAAGTCACTTAATTTACCGTAACATTCTCCATGATCCTCCAAAAAGCGAATAAGATTTGTATTTATAGTTAAGTATTACACGTGTTTGAGTCACAACCGTTGCGCT